AACTGCAAGGACTCGTCCAAGCAGTCACTGCAGGGTCAGCAATGACTAAGCGCAGACAAAATAAAAAAAATTAAAAAAATAAAGTACTCCATTAAAAATGATAATAAGAATAATTCCCACCTGCATTTTTTCCATTGCACAAAAACCACTCTTACTCGTAGAAGTATATGAACACATATACTTATTCCCCTCCCTCCTTCTAGCAGAAACGAAAAGAAGAAAACCAGAGTGGAGGTAAGGTAAGGAGAAAGGGTGACCCCAATGGGAAGAGAGGGAAGAGAGGGAAAATTTGGATTCAGATGAGCAGAGGGGGAAAGGTAACTGAGATCAAAGGGACAAGAAAGAGAGAGGTCAGTATAACGGAAGGGTTAAATTCACCAGGCAAGCAGCCTCTCCATCTTTAAACCAATGTTGAAACATCCACATTTTTCACAGCTCTGACTGTAGTATATTATTTCTTTTGCTTTTAACAGTTTTTAAAAAGTCCCTTCTATCCAGCAAATATAGCAGCAGAAGCATTTGGTCAACTTGATTAATCCCTGATCATGTAAGCTTAGGCGGAAAACAGTATGCATTTCTCTTTGGCCAAATACTTGCTGAAAAATGCTAAGAAACATCAGAATCATTCTTCCTTAATGTTTACATTCTTCTTCTTTTGGCAGAATGACATGGGTGGACAGCGTAGTCTTGTAAACAAATGGACAACTTATTTGAAAGCAAGACTTGTGTGTTCAGTCATGGATGATGATGGCACAGAGACCTACTTTGATGAATTAGGTATAAGGGGGGCATTTTCATAATTTTACTTCATACATGTGTTGTTCAATATATATTATTTGATATTTTATACATTTTTTTCATATATCTCAGAAAATGTGAGAAGAGGAGGATTAAAATGGGCTATTCCATTCTACAACGTTCAGAATCCCCAGACAAGAGAGAAGGCTGATTGTGTATGCTTAAATAATTATAGGTGTTTACACTGCACAGAAATGATTGGTCCTTTCCCAATAGGAAAATGACTCTTACTATATGCGTAGAGCAGAATTACATTCCTTTTAACAGAGTAAAACTTCCTTTCAGGGGTGCATGCATAGGCACAACAAAATATTGGTGACTTGGACAGTTGGCTGTATAGGTAAATAGAACAACGTCAAAGAAGATGTGGCTTCTGATGGGCTTCTGTGCAATTACATTATTTGTGTGCATCAGAAACTCAGTTTGCCAGAAGCAGAGGAATACTGGAAGCTGGCTTGCAATATGGAAAAGTCAGCCTTCAAGCTTGCAGCCGTTTGCCTGTTTAGTTTGATAATGCAGATGTCAGTATAGTAAAAAATATAACCTTTTCAGGAAATCCAGTTCCCCAGGCATTTTCTTACGCACCAGTGAAAATGCAATGTATGATGAGAAAGTTAGCTGGATCCATCTAAAGGTTTACAAGCAGTTCTGCTTCAAATCATTTATTTCTGGACTATCTTTTCTTGTCTCCATTATTTCTCTGTGGTATGAGCTGGCTAACTAGTTATATACCACCCTTAGGTTATAATAAAGCAAGAATCAGTGTCCCTAGTGGTGTATCACAAATGATCTCATTGTCTGCAATCGATGATGAGGTCACTGGTATTTTACTTTCTCCTGTCTCTCTCTGGGGAGGAGTCCAGTAACCTTGTCAGCTCCTCCCCAGCTTTTTTGTTCCTCTTAGCCTAGAATCACCAAAGATCATCCTATCTGAAATGGAGGCAGTCCGCAGATAGGATGATCTTTGGAGATTCTACTAAAGCCTTACACTTGGTGCACAACATGTGTCACCCACAGACACATGGCCACAGAACAGGGAAATGAGGGACTGAGAATGAGCTAAAAATGAAGAAATAGATTGTGAAAGAAGATTGATGCAGGTTCAACTTGAGAGGTATGGATGCAAATGCAGAATTATTGCCATTGAAAAACAGATATTGTGCAACTTATCATAATGATCACATGTCTAATCCAGTCTAACATCTGGGTCCTAACTGTTGATTGGAATTTCAAGGTTTGTTGTAGTAGTAGTAGTAGTAGTAGTAGTAGTACTAGCAGTAGTTTAGAATTCTTTAATTATAGACTGGATTGGACAGGGTAGATTTTCAAGTACTTTGAGATAAGGAATGTTCAGTGTAAATCTGAAGATATGGCTATTCTTGTTGGCTTATTAAACTGCTTAATTTAGTGTTCTGCAAGCCATATAAATGACATATCTAATTTAAGACAGGCTATTACAGTGCAATTTTGTTTCCATTTATTGGTTAAACTACCTTCCAATAGAACAAACACCTGTTCCTTATCAATCCTTATCCTTGAAGCTTTCATGATCTATTTTATAATATTATGTTGGCAAGCGTCTGACCTTTTCTTTAAGCCTCTGCTTACTTTTAGCTGCTTGCATTTCAGTGTATTCTAAAGATAAGTTTGTCTATGACACATTTAAAAAATAAAAGAAGACAAAGATCTGGAAACCACGAAATTGTATTTGTTGATTTATTTGGTAACTGTATTTTTCTCCCTACAGAGGATGTTTTTCTACTAGAAACAGATAACCCAAGAACAACACTTATATATGGCATTTTCACAACCTCCAGGTAATCCTACATATTTATGATAAGAAAAACTTTAAATTCAGATTTTCATGGGCATGGAAGACATATGGTGATGTGATTCCTATTAAGATGTATCTCTAGATATGTTTTGTATTCTAAGATGTTATCTTGGACAACTTCTAAAGAATGTTCTCATGAAGCCTTTTAAGTATAATATTAAAGGCAACTGTTTTCAATATTGCCAGAAATTAAATTATCATTTGGCAGTGATTATTTTATTATATAATAACATCTGCATCTCCTCATCAAAGGTGATGTTCCCATTTCCCAGAATCTATTTGTGGGTACAGATTTGTGTTTCTTGCAGTAATAGAAGAGAAATTTGTTTGGTTAGCATTAACGTTTACACTTCCTGGACTTTTGCACAAATGGGAATAAAGTTGTATACAAATGTCTTCATTTGTCCAAATTCTGTGATGCACTTAGCACCTAAACAAATCCATGCGAAGTGTCTGTATGTTAATGAACCGTGCACACAAAACCACATGATGTAAAGAAAAAAAATCACTTACAAAATGCGCATACCATATTAGAAACACTTTGCACAAACATGTGCTTTGAATCTCTGATGTGTATTTTTGCTTACAAAAATACTGGAATCCTTGTGAAAAGTTTTGCAAGAACATGTTTTAAAGGGGAAAAAAACACCTTGCATATTGAAAGGAGACACAGCAAAAGGAAAGTTATAAAGGAAGAAAAAAGACACATAAGAACGTAATTAATATTCATCATCCTGAATGCCTTAAGAATCTCTCTTAAACGTATATTGTATGTTTCCTCTGGCCTACATGAGCATGAAACTGAGCAAACTCAGGGAGGCAGTGAAGGACAGGAAGTGGATGATGTGAATTTTCACTTGGCATCCAAGCAGTCATTAAAAAAGCTTCACTGGAATAGCTGAGCCTCTCTCTTGGGTTCCATGAAGAGCCAGAAGGAAGTTTAACAGTAGAGATGGGGAGATATCATTTTTCTGACCATTTGATTTAATTTGGAAATCGGTTTGATTAATTCATGTAGTGGGGTAGGAAATGGGATACAACCATATAAGTTGGATAAACAAAGGCAACACAGTGTCCTGCAGATACTTTATCTGCCTCTACTCGGTTTATTCAGATTCAGTTTCTTTTGCCACAAACCCACAGATATATTTTAATACATGTTTAAAAAATAACTCTGAAGTTGATGTACAGTATAATTTGTAGTAGAGACTGTAATGGATTACATTTGGCAGCCATACCTTTGATTCCATCTCCAAACTTCAGGAAGATGTTACCACAAGGAATTATAATCAATTTAATGAAGTAACATATTCTGAATGAATTAACTTCATAGGCAAAACCAGACAAAAGACATATTATTTCAGATGCACATGCGTGTGTGCACACACACACGCACACAGACATTTTTCATATTGATTATTATTTGATGGAGATGAATAGTTAATTTTGATACAATAGGTTATGACACAGATACATTGTGATGTTGTGACAATACTGAGCATATTCAGCATACTGAGTAAGATCAAAATCACATGCTTTTTGAGAGACAGAAGGGCCAATGAGGTTGTAATCTTAATGTCAGGATAATTTCCAAATGTCAAAATAGACTGGATGTTTAAAAAATTAAACTGAGAGAACGCTAGCACAAGCTCTCTTCATAAATTTACAAAATAGATAAACAAAGCATGTAAAGAGAAGGATGGTGTGTTTTCTCCTTTAGATTAATTCTTCTTCCAGGCATGAGGTTAACTGTGTGTGGGAGTGATGAAATGTAATATTAGAACATTTAAAGGCTAGCAGCATCTGTAACAATTTGGGGATGCCAAATTAATGACATCTGTCACATCATGTCATTATGCAACTGGTAGTTAGATGATGACATAATGATATGTGATGCAAGTACGTAAATTATATCATTTGCTCAGATCGTCATCATGAAATTAGTCATATTGACATGATTACAAACCCCCCATCAATAAAAAGGAGTTGGTTACCTCCTCTGTCATAGCATTTCAATTGGCTCTTGTAATTTAACTAATTCACCAGGGCATAAGCAAGAAATATCCAGAAACATGATTGCGTTCCTGGAGAGGAAGGCTCATGAAGATGAGCTGATATCAAATCCTGAAAATTCCTGGGCATCTAGTTAGCAAGTCTGTGGAATCATCCCAAAGACAACGACCAGGAAGGAGCATACGTAAGGAAAGAGTGATCTATCTAGTTCACTGCGAGTGTGGACTGTCCAGTTCTTCAACAATTGACAAGTCACAATCTTCACTGAAAAGAAGGAGGAATTTATAGGAGGCCCTATGGTCTTGAAAGCCAAAATTAAGAGAATTAATTGATTGAATTGATTTACTGATTGAAAGCTTGCATGTTTTAAGCAGGCAATAATGATTTAGAGATGGTGTTAGCAAGACAAACAAGAAAAGAGAATGAATGCATCTTGTTGGTTTACTGTTTTCCTTTCTTTCCCTAGTTCTGTATTTAAAGGCTCAGCAGTCTGTGTGTATCACTTGTCCGATATCCAGCGAGTGTTCAATGGACCATTTGCACACAAGGAAGGGCCAAACCATCAGCTCATTCCCTATCAGGGAAGAATTCCTTATCCACGACCAGGGACTGTAAGTGTCCATAATCAAATTATCTTTTGATGTATTACCAAGCATTGTCTGAATGTGTGTGTGTGTATGGAATGTAGAAGAAACCACCTTCTGTTAGACAAAAAATATCACCACCGGTACCATTGGGGTCAAACTGCTGCTGCGTTACATGATTTACGCTTTACTGAATGCTTCCACGTACACAGAAAACAACCCTGCCTTGCACATGGGAAACAGATTGGCTGAGACATCACTGGGGCTGCCTGAAGTTTATGTTATACTAAGCACATATTCAGACATGGAAAGGATAATGACCTGTGGTTTACTAGTGGAATTTATAGAGGTTCATTCAGATTGAGTTCCACCATCTTTTAATCTAAAACCATATGTGCAAGTCCTTTAAAACCAGCAAGATTTGATTCTGACTGAATTGGCTTGCTGGAGTTGGATGAAATATGTCCCATCTTACATTTCTTGTTACTGTTCATCAAGGAACAAAGTGCATCCTGAAAGTCTCATGGGGCCTTCAAGCAAGCCTTTTTGTCCTACCCTACCCCACCCCACTTCTCCACAGAGTGGAAGGAACAAAAAGATTGTCCTTTTTCTTGCTTTTAGAAGGAGGGGGATTTAAGGGACAAAATATATGCCTTTTGCAGGTGTTAAGGTACATCTTTCATTCCTTAGCACACATGAAGTCTTTTCCATGAATAGGTTTGGTTTGGATTTGGGCCTGAACTTGCTGTGCAAAGCTTAATGTGTCCCTCACCTAATGGAAGTTGCACACTCTTGTAGATGGTGAAGATCACTGGACCAGTTCTCTAGCTCCCAAGTTAGGAGAAGACAATTATTTTCAGTGGTTTTTTCCTAATGGAATGGAACAATGACATTGTAGCTGTCCACCAAGGTCATCCAATTTATTTACCAATAACCTGCCTTCCTTTTTCTTAGTCCTAAGGGAACCTCCAGTAATAGTTTAGTGATGTCAGAGAGGAAAACTGCACATCCTTGTTAGCAGAGATCAGTTGATTAGCAATGAGAGCTTTGCTGAAGAACTTGTTACTGAAGCATAATGGTTGTTAATGGCACAAAGGATTAAAACAATTTGATTAGCTCAGGCAGATCTTATTCCTTCTTTTGGAGGGGAGGAACCTCAAGGATGAAACAGCATAAGATCCAAGTGAAATGTAACTCCCTTTTGTCTCAACCTTAGCAGTTCAGTTTCATATGAAGATAAATGAATGTATACACTGAGGGTTATAAGAGATAAAAGCTGAATAAAAGATAATGGTAATTCAGTTGCTTTGCTTGCATTCCAGAGATTAATTGTTTTTATAGACTTTTTGTAGGGTATAAATGTAGTGGATCATTTTACAAGGAAGTTTATGAGCCTGGGATTAGTCATATGTGCTTTTCTGGTCTTCCCATAGGTATTTGGTTGGCCACAAAAACTTTTGGTCTGAGCTAGCATGACTCCTTATGTTCTTAAACAACTTAATTTGCACATTAAGAGCAGAGCTTAGTCCAAAAAGAGACTTATACTGTCTTCCAAAACATGTGCATTTCATTGAAAAAAATGAGATTTATAAGATATATCTAACTGGATGGTTGGAACATTCTTAAGCACATCATTTAGTAGTGATTTTTTGAGGTAATACAGTGTGTATGAGTTAGGCAGATGTCATCACTGAATCCCTTAATTTTAGAAACTCTTTTAATACAATTTAGCCATGCACACATTAAGCAAAAGCCTGCTATGAAAGTACTTTGTAAGCATAATATAACAAAAGAAGTAAAAAAAAAACCCTATCAACACCAGCAATCCCCATCCTGCTTGAAGTTTTAATCTAATCCTGACCTTTCATACTTTTCTAAAAATGGTAGCCAAATGCACTTTAACAAATGGTAAGGAAGCTGCCTTCCCTTAAACCTCCCTGACACTTAAGCATTGTCCTTTATCTCCAAGAGAAAATTGTCCAGCAGCTTACCTAGGAAGTAATTCCAAACCGATTACCTCTGAGGTCCAAAGATTGACCAAGTATCAACCAAGTAACTAGGTTTTAGCCTACTGTGGAGCATGCAACTGGCGTCTTCATTCAGACCAGGACTTTGTACATTAGAAGGGAAGGTTGAATACATTCCACACCCACATCTTCCTTTCCATAATGTGCCCTGCTCTCCTGATGGGATTACCTTATGCCACAGATGGGACATCACATGCTTTCCCTCCAGTGAATACAAATAAGAGGGTCAACTGTACACTATGTAATAAATATGGGCTTGATCCTCATCATCTATTCTTGGGGGTCCCTTCTAAATGATGTTATAGAACATCTCACCTAGAAAGAGCCACTGTGGTGTAGTGGCTAAGAAAGTAAGCATGAACAAGGATTCCATTCACATCCAGAGACAAATGTGTACAATGTTACTAGCCCTATCTTACAGGATCGATGTGAAGGTTCCTGCAGAAATATATCTGAAAAGGTGTGAACACTAAATTGATATCATAAAACCACAAAGAGCTATGAGAAGTAGTAGGATATGTTATTATGTTACAGAAATGTTATGAGATGAAGATGATAGATAGATAGATAGATAGATAGATAGATAGATAGATAGATAGATAGATAGATAGATA